ATAATTGAGAAAAGAGAGGAGTTAACTTTTAAAACTATAAACAAGAGTCATATTATAATAGATAAAATGCAAAAATCATAAGGAAATACTATGAATAATTACATATCAACAAATGGATAATCCATAAAAAATAATAATTCATGTACATATATAACCTAATTCTGGATGCTTTGAGACAACCTGTAATCCCAGAATGTGGAAGATGTGCAAGAGGACCAGGAGTTCAAAGTCTGGATTGTAATGAGATGCTATGTAAAAAGGGAAGTGAGGAAGAGAAAGGAAGGAAGGGAGGAAAAGAGAGAGAGAGAGAGAGAGAGAGAGAGAGAGAGAGAGAGAGAGAGAGAGAGAGAGAGAAAGGCAGAAATTATAACTTCCAGCTGGGCGTTGTTGGTGCACGCCTTTAATCCCAGCACTCAGGAGGCAGAGGCAGAGGCAGGCGGATCTCTGTGAGTTCGAGGCCAGCCTGGTCTCCAGAGCGAGTGCCAGGATAGGCTCCAAAGATACACAGAGAAACCCTGTCTCGAAAATATATATATATATATATCTTCTAAGACTGAATCATGAATAGGTAGAAACTCTGAACAAATCAATGTGTAAGGAGTTTGAATCCATTAAAAAATAACTATTGAAAAGAGAAGCCTTAAAACATATGGTCTCACGGATAAATTAGAACACCTGTTTTCAAGAGGATTAGTATCATTCATTTTCAGGTTTTCAAAACTTTAAGAACAGTTCTTCAAACTCTAGGACACTTGAGGCAGAAGTCCTGTCTTCCAGAAAGAGGTAAGTTGGACTCAAAGTAAGGATCTTGGGTTGGGGCTGTCTTCCTAATAGAGGGGGCTGGGCTGCAAGGAGAGAGCGCCCTTCTCACAGTGCAATCCCAACCGTCTCTGCACTCCCGTGAGACACCCTGTCTTGTCAAATGCTTAATAAAGAAGCCCGGTGATCTCCAAATAAATAAATAAAGCAAAAAACTTTGAGGGAAGGATACATTTACAAAGTCACTTGGTAAGTCTTATATGGTACAAATATCCAAATGAGTGAGACAAGACTGTATTATAAGAAGACATAATTCAGGCTGGCCAGTCTCTGCTAGAGATCAAACAAAACAAACCAACAAAAAACCCGGCAAACTGATTTTAGCAGACGTGATCAGATTGGATTTGTCAATAACAGGCACAAATGAGTTGCACATGAAAACCAATCAATGCAATGAACCGCATTAACAAGATGAAAGAGAAAAAAATCGTGGCAAATTCAATAAATTATCAAATGTATCTGAAAAACTTAGCACGCATTCATAATTTTAAAGACTCTCAAAAAATAGGTACAATAGGAATGTATGCCAACATCCAATAGACTGTTGAGACAGCCCTGCTTCCAATGGGTAATGTTCAGTGTTACAGAAGAGCAAATTAAAAATGGGATTTGGCCAGGCACAGTGGTGCACACCTTTAACCCTAGCACCTGGGAGGCAGAGGCAGGTGAATCTCTGTGAGTTTGAGGCCAGCAAGGGATAACTACATAGTAAGACTGTATCTCAAAAACCAAAAATAAAATAGGAAATAAATATGGGTATTGTTGAGAAAGACAAGAAGTATGCCACTCTGTGGGAAAGAGAGGTAACCCAAGGCTGGGTTGAATCACCAGGTCAGACCACTGGGTTCTCTTACACAAATGTCAACAAGCACAAAGACATCTTCTGGGGCAGGGCACACTGATGGAGGATCTGGACATCACTGGAACAAAGCTGACCTTTACTGGGATTAAGAAGGAGGAGAGGGGATGATTTGATGGCTTATACAAATGATTAATGTACACTGCCTACTTACTGCAAACCAATCATCTCGTGGCTTTTAACTTGCCCCACGATCTCATTCATGCATGACCATGAAGAGCTAGCAGAATATTTTTGTTGGGTTTAAGTAAAATTGACTCATGGTGCAGAGAATATGATCTTTTTCAAGTAGCAGTTCCAGCATACTGAATACTACTCTTGCTTTCCCTTTCTAAAGAGAAGATTTCTGCTTGGTTAGTAACATTCAGCTTCCCCACAAAGATGGAACACCACCTCAGAAGCTACCACAGTTCTGTTTTAAACGTGGACTTATGTAAGTGGTTATGTGAACGCCGAAGAAAAAAGTAGACAAGGAAAGGAATTCAAAAGGTCTCCAATTTGGAATGTGCTGCATTGCACATCACTTGGGGTCTGGAGCCACGACTAGGGATGATGGGATGAAGAGAGGACAGACACTGATGGGCAGGACAAAGATACGGAAAAGCTGGAACCAGGTGGGTTGGGCTGTCTGATGGAGAAGCTGCAACACCTCAGTAGCTCAGAGTGTTTATTACACACAGCTGAACACGGAGGCAGGGTTAGCTACTCTCAGTAGGAGCAGTGTCTACAGGGGAGCAGTCTTCAGGCAGTGACCATCCCGTGGGAGAAAGCAACAGGGGACATACTGTTCACATTCCCATACACAGAATGGAAGTGTAATTATTTCTCTTTAATGATAACTATAGAGTAAACCCTAAAAATTCTACATAGTACACATACAGCTCACATACATACGCATTAGACAGAATAAACAAGTTTTGTACAGTGACAGGATAAATCATAGGCCTTTTGCAGTTCCATAGAAATAGAAAGACACCCATGTCAAAGAATGTTAAAACACAAAATAGTGAAAGGTAAAATTATGCAGCATTGTTACCAGGAAACTGAACTGGTACAATCATTATGTAACTCAGTACAGAAGCTCCTCCAAACACTGGCTACAGAATTACACACCATGTAGCAATCTCACTTTGGGATCTATAAAATGAGACATAAAAATACCATCACCTAAAGATGTCCACATTCATGTTATTTTCAGTATCACTCACAAAAGTGAAAACTTGGAAACAACCTGTTTGTCAGTTACTGAGGTCTTTTGGGTACCAGCCCCTTAGACTTCTTCAGGGTCCAGGCAAGACTCTAGAGCCAACAAGAGAACTAACTGAAAAAGATCTGAGGACGAAATGAATTCCCCACTGTGTGCTTTTCCACATCTGTTTCTTTATTCTTTTGTTTCTACTCTAATAATCCTGTCTTACTTCTAATTCCTCCCAGCTTCTTCTTCTTCTTCTAATTTCTTCTATTCTAGCCTCTCAAAAATCTCCCTTCCCACAAAGGCTTGAAGCAAAAGAAGGAATTACAAGAATAGTTCTCATTGGTTAGAAGCACCTTCCTAGACTAAGCAATAAGGGCAGAGGCATTGCCGTGGCAACATAAGATCCCAAGGCCATAGGAGTAAAACTGCAGCCAGAAAGGTGGGGGCGGGGGAGCAGTGCCCAGTGACAACTCTGAGACACGGATTCATTGTTAGTAGACTGGCAAGTGAAGAATTGGCATGCTCGGGGTCTGCGGCGGCCGCGCCAGCAGCAGGAGATGGAAAGGGAGTCCTTCCCACGCGCGCATGCGCCCACCCGGCATCCCGTGAGCGATCAGAGCCCCGAAGGAACTTGTTTTCAATGAAACAGTGCCCCGATCCATCAATAAACGGCTGAATGGAAAAAAAAAAAAAAAAAGAATTGGCATGCTTTTCTTAATAACCTTGGTTGGACATTTGTGGCTCTGACCTTGTAAACAGCTTTAAGGTTTCAAACTTATGATCTGTTTACAAAAAGCCTTTAGTCTAGTTTGAACTTGCTCTGAGGTGAAAGTGAGCTAATTGTGTGCAATTAGTCTGAGCAAAAGAACAAGGCAGGCCGTTAAGTGTCCACAGTGCTCTCGGGACAAGTAGATCCAGTGTTGGAGCATATCCCAGTATACATTTATATAATCAAAACTACATAGTTAAATGAAAAGTCATGTTCTAGACCACCCTCAGATATATGTGCCCAGTAATTGATTAATACACTGCTGGGGTTTATGGGATGAATCCCACCCATAGAAAGGAGTACTATGGCTTCACAGGGAATTTACAGTAAGGACAGTGACTATTTAAAAAGCAAAGACTCCCACCGCCCTGCATGTGGTCTCCTCCGTTGGAATGTGTGTAATCCCGGTGGGTTAGCATCATCATTTATCAGCTGAGTTCTCACAGTATAGTCCTATGGACCACAGCCGTCAGTGGATGAGTGGATCGTTAATGTTTAACACATATCTGTGCGTGTATTAGACACACTGAAACATTGGCCCATCATATAACGAGCATCCTCTGATGTGCAGCATTGAATTAGTGTAGAGGGCATTCAGCTATGATGAACAAGCACAAGAAAGACCAGTATATGATCTCACTTATAAACAATGTCTGAAAACATACACTGCAGGGATTAGAGAGAAGAATCCATCGGGGTAGGGGGTTGATGTTGGGATCTCTGCCATGTCGAGGAAAGGGCACAAACTGCCAGATAAAAAATAAGGAAATATTGAAGGTCCAAGATGAAATAGAGTCATAACAGTTAACACCATCCTGAATATCTGAGCTTTCTTAGAAAGTCCTTAAGAGTTCTACACACACACACACACACACACACACACACACACACACACACACACGTTAAGTAATGGATGGTGTTAACCTGATTTGGATAGTAATTTCACAGTAAACATAAATATTAAGCCAGACACTATAACTCAAGTATATGTAATTTTATTTCTCAAGCACATGTCAGCAAAGCCAAAGGTAGAGTAAGTCTGAGAAAAAACAGACGGAGAGAACATACCATACAATTGTGGGCATAAATGAAACCTTAGAGGGGAAATGAAAGCCCCATGTGTGCACAAGGATCAATGTACAGTGACCTGGTACACGGAAAATCCTGAATACAAGGGCATCTTATGAAGGAGTAAGTGGATTAATAAACAAGTATATATGTTGTCCTCATATGTATAACCATTTGCTGACTGTTTAAATTCTGGGGACATCTCTTCCACATGAAAAAATGTTCCAGGTGTCTGTGTAACGGTGGCGTAAATAAGGAATCTCCATCCCGTGTCCATGGAGAAGGGTTTTTCATAAGTATATTTTCTTCATCTGGCAAACTGACTTCTGTGTATCACTGCAAGGTATGTCATTCCAGCCCCAACCAGAAAGTCGATTGAATATAACACATTGTTCTTTGTCATTGTTGGGCTCATCTCGGTGCCAGAACCTGAAAGGGAGGAAAGAGCATCAGGGTGATTCCTACAGCAATGCTGGGAAGGAGAAAGCAAGAGTAAGCAAGCCTGAGGATGAGGCTGGAATTTGTGGAGATCAGATCAAGTGTGGACAAATCAGCCATTCTCCACCACCCACATCTGACATTTCCCTGGAAAACAGGGCCCACCGCATTCAATGTTCTCTTAGCTTGTTCTTAACCATTCTCCCACAACACATCCCAGAGGCTACTTCATCCCTAGGTCTTGGTACCTGGGGACTGTCATTCCATAGTGCTTATTTACTTGCTAAAAAGGTCTCTCTTTGTTCTTATGTTTTAATATTTTTTTTTTTACAACAGTCTTATGTTATAGACTGGAGAACTAGTTAAAATATCTAGATAATCTACTTATTTCTGTCATCTAGGACAAATAATTT